ATTACCTGAGCCTGACGATGAAGGCGAGCCAGACCAGGCTGAAGCAGAGCCCGAAGGAGTTCCTGAGGGTCACCGGGCTTCGGAGCTTGAGGGTGATTTGTGGGAAGATGAATTGGGTGTCGCTGATATGTCAGATGAGCAATTTGACGATGCCTTGTCACAGTTGCTTTTCAAAGGTGCCAACAAGGTTCTGAGGTTTGCTGTGCCAGTGAAGTCGCGCAAGGGGCCCCAAATCTTGGCGGCACTCCAAGAGGTGGTCACAGAATGCAACCGCCTTGGGTTTCCAGTGAAGATTGCCCACACCGATCGTGCCAAGGAGTTGATGTCGAAGGCAACTGTGGAGTGGCTTCAGTCAAAGCTCATCCAACCCTCCTTCACCCAAGGTGATGACCCACAGTCCAACGGGTTAGCAGAGAGGTTGGTAGGTTGGGTTAAGGCCAGGGCACGACTTCATTTGGCAGCTTCTGGATTGGGTGTTGAGCAATGGCCAGCAGCAATGTCGTTTGCATGTGCAGAGCATCGCAATCGGATGCTTCAGGTGGACACTAGGCTTCCAAGGTTTGGGCAAAAGGTGATTTTCAAGAGCAAGCATCCTACCGGGAGATCAAAGCGACCTTTCATCAGGTGGGAACACGCAGTGTACCTTTGCCCAACACCCCGTACGGAAGGGGGTCACGTGTTGCAACGAGCGCTGTCAGGTGCCTACTTGGTAGCCAAGAATGTCCGGTGCGTTGAAAACTTGGTTGACCCGGAAGCCGAGTTAGGTGATGAAACCGTAGTGGAAGCAGATGCTCCTGACGAGCTGCCAAGAGCAAGTGAAGACGGGCGGCTACCTGCGCCCGGTCGACGTATCACTGGGAAGCGAGCAGTGCGAGCCATTTCCCTCCCTGCGGAGACGTTGGCGCAAGACTTTCTGAGAAATGGCTGGTTCACTCCTGATCACTGCGGAAGACTGCTTGAGATGGCCTTTGGAGGCACAGAAGCCATATCGCGAAGAACTCACCGAGGCCCTATGAAGCTTGCTGTGGTTCTAGGTGCCTACGGACATGGTGGGTTGCATGGAGTGACACGTGCAAGTCGTGTATATCCTGGGGTGTGCCGCTACTTGAATGAGTACTTGAGAAGGAATCTGCCGTCCGGGCAGAGCAACCCACAGTGGAGTGCCTTGACTGTCGTTGTTGCCCCGGAGGTAGCGGTGCACAGGGATGTTAGGAATGAGCCAGGATCAGTCAACTACGTCACACAGATTGCCACTCGCTCTATGTGGATTGAGGGAGCGACCGAAGCGGGTCTAGAACAGGCGTGTGCAGACGAAAAGGGGATTGAGCGCAAGGGCTACCGGATGCCCCTGACACAGGTCACCTCAACCTTTGACCCGAAGCAACGCCATTCAGTTCTGCCAGCCACCAATTGGGTGATAGCAGGGTATACACCGTTGGGTAGTCATAAACTCCCCCCCGCTAAGCAGAATGAGCTGAAGGAATTGGGTTTTAAGTTGCCTGGTGCAGTTATGCCTACAGTTTGCAAGTTGGTGGGACCGTACCCCCATCGACTCCCAGAAGCCAGACCTCGTCGTCACCCTCCACCGCGGCGTGCAGGTTTGAGTGTGAGGTATGCACGAATGAGTGGACCGGAGTGGGCTGAGCTGTGTCAGCTAGATGAGGAGCAATTCGAGGCACGCATATCCAGGTGGCAAAGGGTGTTAGGAGGTGCCGACGAAGACTCAAACATGGACCCAGTGTCAGCCTCAATTCCTCACAACCTCCTGGTTTCTCACGTGTTCCAGGGTCGCAATTGGCACCAAGACCCAGAGTTGATTGTAAATGGCCCAGCGGGACCGGTGTTAGCAGCACGTGTTCTTGACTACTCAGATGACGGCCCACCAGACGAGACTCCGTTCCCTGATCGCATGATCATGTTTTCGGTGCACGATTTGGTGCGAGATGTCACCGAAATGGTGATTCTGCGTGTGGTGCTAATTGAGGAGGAGCAAGGGGGGAACGGGAACCCGTTAATGCCAGTGTTGCAAGTGCCTGGACCTCCACCGCCGGAGGTCCGAGTGGTCCAGTGTGCAAATGAGCTACGGAAGACAAGTGGGAATTTTCCCTCTCGTCTTCCTGTCCCCTTGCCGAATCCCACCTTCATCCAAGTGCATTCGGCCCGATCACTTCGAGAAGTGCTACCTCAGGAGGAGGCGATGTTGTGTAAGACAGAGGCCACCACCACCAAGGGCTTGGAATCAATCCTCGATGGCCTTTCGGAACCTCTGAGTGTGACGCATACAGCATCTCAGGAGGAGGTGCGGGCCCACTTGCAAAGGTGGAAGGGAGCGATCGAGAAAGAGCTCAAGTCTTTGAAGGAGCCTGGAGTCCTGGTCAGTCACTTCGGGAAGGAAGCGCAGGGCTTAATCGCCAGACCCGGGACTACAGTGATCCCTCTCAAGGGTGTGTTCACAGCAAAGGCCCCAGCAGGCCCACAAGATGGTTTGTACAAAAGAAAGTGCAGGCTGGTAGGATGTGGGAACCAAGCCTCCCATGTTGATGCTGACTCCCTGTACGCAGCTGGAGCCCCGGCCGAACTGGTGCGTGCGTCGTTGGTACAAGCATGCCGGCATGGGTGGTCCGGGTTCACCACTGACATCAAGTCGCAAACCCCTATACCCCAGCATGCAGCTCAGCGCTACCTGTTGCGTCCTCCGAGATGGCTCGTGGAGCTAGGTTTGGCCTCGCCCGACGAGTACTACTCGTTGGGCAAGGTGTTGTACGGCTTCAAAGAAGCACCGGCTTGGTGGAGTGACCACCGGGACACGAAGCTCCTCACCGCATCGTTCTTGGGTTGCCATCTTGAACAGGGTACTTCAGACCCTTCGCTCTGGCGGATTATGAAAGGGGAGGACCTGAAAGGTTTTTTGGTGACCTACGTGGACGATTTTCTCATCCTCAGTGACGGATCTACTGCGCGCGGGTTGCACCAGTGGCTGTTGGAAGGTGCTGGGTGGGAGACTGATGGCCTCAGTGAAGCAAGGCCAGGGGAACCAGTGCGGTTCCTTGGCATGCAGCTTGAAAGACATGAAGACGGACACTTCAGCCTGGATCAGGAGTCCTACGTTGACGAGCTCATAAGAGCCTACGGGTTGGCCAGCAGTGACAAGTCAAAGGTTGTATGCCCCAGGGAGATCCTCATGAGTGAGCCTGAGTCAGCGCCCAAGGCTGACGAAGCGACCATCAAGGCCGCGCAGAAAATAGCAGGGGAATGCCTTTGGTTGTCACAGAGAACGAGATTCGATATCTCCTTCACCACCGCCATCCTCTGTTCACGGGTATCGAAGGACCCGCAAGGAGCTTTGATGATAGGACGAAGGCTGCTGTGTTACCTGCACCAGACGAAGAGTTTCAAGTTGCACCTTCGTCCAGATGCTGCAGCAGCACCGGTGAGGGTGTTTACAGATGCCAGCTTCTCTCCTCAGGGCCAGCATTCCTATGGAGGGCATGTGGTCGAGCTGTTCGGCGTTCCTGCCGTTTGGCGAGCATCCCGCCAAGCCCTCATAGCTTTAAGTTCTTCAGAGGCGGAACTGATCCAAGCAGTGGAGGGATGCATGTATGCGGAGTCGCTGCTCACTGTGCTGCAGGACTTGCGTGTGCAGTGCAGCACGGTGCAGCTGCTGCTAGACAACACGGCTTCGATTGCCTTTATCGGAGGCTCGAGCAGCCAAAGAACGCGGCACCTAAAAGTAAGGGCGTACAAAATACGCCAACTGATCCAGTCAGGCTGGGAGGTCAAGCACTGCCGTGGGGAGTATCAACGTGCAGACTTGTTGACGAAACCGTTGCCGGCTGCCCGCATGCGGTTCTTGTGCGACCTACTGCAGCTTGGAGAGGGCCCGATGCCCAGAGCTGCCGAGGATCAAACCCAGGAGCCTACAGTCCGATCTGTTGCGAGTGCGCCTTCGTCATGCCTATCTTCAGTACTGTGGTTGCTGCAGGTTTGTGGGTGCAAGGGAGAAGGTGAAGGAAGTGAAGATGTGGACCAAGGCATGCCGATTGAGTGGCCCTGGGAGTTGGCAGTGTTGACTCTGTTGATTGTGCTTTCAACCTTGTTCGTGTGGGAAGCATCTGGTGCCCCTTGTCGCAAGAGGCGCGAGCCTACACCTCAGGTGCGGGCTGTATCGATCAAGGAAAGGCGGGCCAAGAAGCTACACGACCGTGTCGCTGCCGCTATCGACAGCGCTGTCAGTGAGAGTCCTACTGGGGACGAAGGTCGTCCTGCGCCACGCAAGGGAAGGAACAAGTGCCCTTCCGAAGTCACCGGACCAGAGTCCGGAACAGGTGCGAGCCCCACCGTTGTGTACGGCGGCATCAACATGCATCTTGCTACTGCAAGGGAACCACGGGAGTTCCTTGATCAGGCAACCGTTGCTGCCTCGTCCACCACTACAACAGCCTACCCAGGAGTTCCCACTCCTCTACCCGGGCCTACGGGGTCTGTTGAACACTTCAGGGTTGAGCCACCAAGGACTCGGGGAGGACCAAACGCAGGTAGAGTAGCCACATGCACCCAGGCAACTCAGACAAGTCCTGTTGTGGTGTTGAATCCTGAGGATAGCGTGTATGCATCTGGGGGTGGCGAGTGTATCCATGTCTGTAGGAGTTGCCGGGGTCTTAGGAACGCAGGATCCGTCAAGCAAAAGGCAATTTGCCAGTACTGTGTTCGGAATCAGAAGGTGGAATTCGCCTAGCGGCGATCCCAAGGAGGAGTGTGAAATTTCCTGAAGGGTAGTGAGTGTACAGCAGGACACACGACTCAACTTGAAGCTGCTGCAGCGCAAGGCTTAAGGAGCTTTGGAGGGCTGCACACCTTGATTTCAGTCAGGACAGATACAGCAATAGCTGAAACTTCGAAGGCTGTGCTGTTGAGCAAAGAAAAAGACCCTCGTTTGCCTGCGCCATGGAAATTCGATAAGACGGAGTTCCGTTTGAGGTTTCGGAATCGTATCGACCCAACTGTGATGACTACAGAGAACCCGAACCTCGAGGACTTACCACCCGGTCAGCCTGTCGACGGGGTTGACAGCAGGGTTCAAGAACAACATGATCAACAGGTTATGGGCGCCCAAATCGCTGCCGCAGCAGCAGCTCCGCAGATGGTCAACGGGACCTACGGTGCGATTGGAACGTCGGGCCCTCTGTCTATGGATGGAGAGGTTTTGGCGGCGCCACAGAGGACGGATACCCAAGGAACCGGAGATGTGGGTGTCGCTGGACGCGGAAGCAGAGATACTGGAATTGGGACACTCAAGGCAGCCGCAGAGCGAGTCATGGCGAACGTGGCCGCTAAGGTGCAAGGGGTGTTGCCACCACAGGGCAGAGGGAGTTCTGCTCAAGGATTCCTCCAGAGGGAGGACACAGGATCTGCGGGAACTCATGGTACTGGGTTTTTTACTGCTGGTTCTGGGATACAGGGAGAACATTCCACTCCGGAGGCCCAAGGGACTTCCGGGAGTGGGTTGTTTTCCCCTCAGCAAGCTCAGCATCTTCGCGAGATGTCCAGCGAGGCTCCCCTCTTGTATGCGGGTGAAGGACGACCTGTGCCACAAAGAGGGACAGCAGAGGAGAGACAGGTTCCTCCTCTTCCTCACTCGTCAAGTTCAGATTCGGGTCAGGCTGAAGCGATACAAGCTGAAGTACGGAAGCAAATGCAGGTCTTCATGGCGGCGCAGAGTGAGCTCCAGCGTAGAGTAGCCTCGTTGTCGGAAGAGAATCAGATGCTTCGTCAGGTAGCGAATGTTTCAGAGTTGACCTCGGAAGGGTTTGGTCCTCATGAGGGCAGAGGTGGTTGGTTTAGTGGGCTAAGAAGGAACATTATGGGTCTTGTTCAACAGGCTCCGGGCAAGGCGCCGCCAATGCCCTTTGTTGTTGAAGGATGGCAAACTGTGCAAGGCCATTCCTCTCTGCCTCCATCACCACCACTTCAGGCCGGGTCCCTTCCTGGATCCATTTCTGCAGGGCCAGCCGCACCAATGCATCCGCCTCTCCCCATAGGGTATGGTTTAGGTCCCACCCCTGCCGCCTCAACTGTGCCGGTGTCAAAGGCAAGTGACAACCATGGCTATTCAGCGAAGCTGGAGGCCTCGCAGCCAGCGGCAACGTCTTCTTCAGGTTTAGGACCCTGCGGTTACCCTAGTAACCCTACAGCACCCGTCGCTCCCGAGCATGCAGGTCTAGCAGCGAATGCAGGCAGTTCGGGTCCAGCAGGCAACAGCCCATTGGAGGCTATGATGTCAGGTATCGTACAGCTGCAGAATGTGGTTGCAGATCTGGCAACTTCGCGAGCAGGCACTGCTGTGAGCGCCTCTAGCAGCAACCCGGAGGTGGTGAGGCCAGGTGTGACTGAGCTGGTTAAGCTCCCCCCTCCTACGCTTGAAGGTGCCCTAGGGTTCTCGGATTGGTTGCATGCTATAAGGCCTTCGATGAGTGACTTGTCGGACTCCTCGGGTGAGTGTTGGCAAAGGGTTCTCGCGCAAGCGCAGGAGTGGTACACGTCACAGTATGTGCCCTCAGGTCCAGTTGCAAGGGTGAGGTTGAAACCGCCAGCGTCAGAGGTGGACAAGGAGCCACGGTGGAACAGAGTGCGCCACAGGATGGAGCACCTCATCTTGCAAAGCTGTCCAGATGCGGTCAGAGCCGAGTTGTCATCGGCCCGTGTCAGCGGTGTGCTACCAATCATGTGCCGCCTTTACACCGTGTATAAGCCAGGCGGGGTCACAGAGCGTGCAGAGGCCCTTCGTCAAGTTCAACAGCCTCGCCCCGCGGATTCTCCAATCGACGCGGTCATGAAGCTTCGCACATGGAAGCGCTGGATGACGCGCTTGTCAGATCTGGGTGGCACTCAGCCCGATGCCGCTGTGAGCATTCAGGCCCTTGAAGGGATCACTTCCGGGGTCCTCAAGGGACTTCCCAGCCTGTCTTTCAGAGTCAATTTGGTCCGAGCCTCTCTTCATCTGGACACTCAGCCCTCGGCAGGCAAGGTGGAGGAGTTCTTTGAGCATCTTCTCGCTGAGTTGGAGGGTGTTTCAAGGGTTGCAGAGCCATCCTCAGGTAATGCCGCAGGCGGAGGTAAGCCGGATTCCAGCAAGAGTGTGCGCCAGGTTGAAGCTAAAGCTGCTCCCAGTGGTGGAAGCGAGGCTACTCAGGCTGCCCAGAAAGACAAACCAACCAAGCCGCCTACCCCTTCCGGGGGTGACTCGCCTAAGAAGGTCTGTAAGTGGTTCATGGAAGGAAAGGGATGTCGTCGGGGAAAGGACTGTCGCTTCCTTCACGACTGGAATCAGATCCCTAAGGCCGAGAAAGGCGACAGGTGCATGTTGTGTGGAGGTAAAGGTCACAGGAAAGATGCGTGCACAGTTGTCACCGGTGCCCCTTTGGTCAAGAGGGATGATGGTGCTAGTTCAGCCAAGGCTATGCGTAGTGAAGCCAGTCCCAAGGCAAAGGGAGGAGATCCTGGGCTCCGTAAGGTTCTGTCAGACGCCGCCGGCGTCCTGCGTGAAGCGATGGCCGTGGGCCCGACCGCAGGTGATGGAGCAGCACAAGGAGCTGGGGGTACTGGTCAAGCGTCGGGAGCTGAAGGTAGTGAAGCTCCGGCGATGGCAGTAGCGGCTAAAATCCAAGCCCAGCTTGAAGATTTGGAAGCTAGAGTGTTGGATGGTGGCCCGTGCATCCGTTCAGTCTGTGGCAATGTGTCGGAAGGGGCAGGTGAGCCAACGGCGTTGCTTGACTCTGGTGCGACACATGTGGTTGTAGATGATGCCGCGGCAGGTTCCCAAGACTTGGTGCCGTGCACAGTGTCGCTTGCAGGTGACCAACGCCAAACTTGGCACCAAACACCCGGTGGATCGCTGGTGGCACCTGTCACCGGTGATGGACATGCACCGCAGACCATTCTCCCGTTGGGAAGCCTAGTCACCCAACTTGGTTGCTCCTTGCGATGGTCGAAAAGGGAAGGTTTGCAATTGATGCATCCCAAACTCGGGCGCTTGAAGACGAGCCTGAAGGGAGGATGTCCTCAGCTCAGCAAGGATCAAGCTCTTTCCCTAATCAGGGAGCTTGAAGGTGTCCGTTTGGGCGAGCTTGCAGGCAGGTTGAAGAGGATTCAAGCGCACCTGAAGGTCAGTCAGGGACTTGGGTTTAGGGATGCATTAGATGCGTTCGTGGAGTCAGGAAGCTACACCAGTGCCTTGACTTTAGGCAAGATGATGCCGTTCCTTGAGCAGGTGCCTGCCGCGCTTGTTGCTCGCCTGGTTGTGGATTTAGAGGGTGCCAATGGCTGGGAGTTGTTGAAAGGGCTTCCGTTCAATCGTAGGATCAGGAAGAGACTTCACCAGTCGCACTTATGGCTTCTTCATCTAGGAGCAGGCAAGGTTGACCCGGTCCTCAGGCAAAGGTGTCAGATGCAAGGTGTGGAAGGCGCTGTCGTGGGCCGCTTTCACCGGAAGGTTGGCCGGCGTTGTTGCCGACGCACAAATGAGGACCTGGAACGGCGTGAGGGTTGATGACTCTGCAGCAGTACACCTCAGGACGTCCGAGCATCCCTGGGGTTTGACTACCAACACGACGGCTTTGCAGAGCAAGGTGGAGGATGATACTGTGTTTTCCCTGCAGCCCATGTGGCTGTGGACGATTGCATCAATCTCCAAGGGTCAGGGCGTACCATTCATTCAGACCCACGCGGTGAGTGCCCCGAACCCTAACTCCTCGTGGATGAGCTCTGTTGTGAACCCTTTCACGACATGGAGCAACTGCAGCCAGTTTCAGGTGCATGAGGCTAAGGAGGCCAGAGGCAACACCAGGCCTATGGTTGTGTGCTCCAATTTGAGGTTTAGTGAGACTGGGGTCAAGAACGGAAGCTCCGATGATAAGGTAACTGCTGCACCTTGTATTCCAGGTTGGTCATCAGCCTTAAGAAGGAAGGTGACAATGGCATTGTTTGGTGCAAACCCTTCCAATCAAGGGGCAGCTGACTTCGAGACGCCGCATGTGAGTGCATTGGATGCCCAGTTGTCACATGTTCCAGCAAGCTCTTCTTCACCTCAGGAGGAGCTACCGCCAGGTCTAGAAGCCTTAAGTCCTGTGAACGAGGAAAGTGAGTCATCACCTTTGCCTCCACCTGTTGGTGAAAAAGGAGGAAGCCCCGCGCCAGTTCCCGAGCGAAGCAGGCCCATGTCTAAGACGATTGCAGAAAAGGATAAAGAACGATGGCGCCGCCATCTGGCCGCGCATCATGTCCCCTTCAGGAAGGACTGTCTCAAATGTGTGAGGAGCGCTCGGAATGCAGCACAGGCGTGTGAAGTGCCCATCTATGTACGCCTTAGCTTTCGACCTTGCCGGGCCTTTTAAGGAACGTGGCAAGGATGAAAAGGGGGGTGGCTACAAGTATGTGCTGGTAGCAGGTTTGCGAGTGCCAGACATTGCATTGCCAGGAGATGAGGTCCCGAAGCCTACCACTAATTCCCCAGGACCTGAGATTAGTGATGTTGGGCCCAATCAGCCAGTGTTTGATGATGATAAAGGTTCTGAGGCCAGCTGGTTGAACGCCAATCTAGAACCGACTGCCGGTGTCATGCATGTGAGCCAACCAGACTCTGACTCCGAAGAGGATCAGGAGTCGATTGTCAGTTGGGTTGAGATGCCTGACCTAGAAGA